TTCTCCAATGGAGCCGGAAAATTACCGTAACATCAGCCTCCTTTCGATCATAGGGAAAATCTATGCCAGCTTTTTGCTGACGAAACTATTGCGATGGGTAGATGAGACTAACCAGATTGGCCACGAACAAGCAGGGTTCAGAATTAAACGCTCTACAACTGATCACGCGATAGTTCTTTACCATCTGGCACGGAAGTACTCCTCCCCTCCCCGGGGCTACCTGTGTGCTGCCTTCTTAGACCTTAAGGCAGCCTTTGACAGTGTTCCTAGAAATATTCTTTGGGAGAAACTTGCGAAACAGGGCATCGGATAGAAGACTCTTATGGCTTATAAGTCAGCTCCACGAAGGTACCCTTGCCAGAGTGAGACTTACTCCTGCGGGCGACCTCACAAATTCGATACCAATAAACAAGGAGTGCGCCAAGGATGTATATTGGCTCCCTGCCTATTCAATCTATTCATCAGCGACATGCGAGCACCCCTAGTCAACTCATCTCCAAGTACACATGCGCCTAGACTAGCGGATTACCGCTGTCCACTCCTTTTATATGCGGATGACGCGGTAATTCTATCTTATACATGTGTTGGACTAACCAGAGCTCTGAAGATCTTTGCCACGTATTGTCAACTCAACCAATTAACCATCAACCATGCTAAATCTAAGATTCTGATTTTCGCCAGAAGTCGGAGATTATACGAATGGGAAGCTTGGTGGAGCAAAAATAGAGCAAGTCCTAAAATTTCAATACTTAGGAGTTATTTTTCAATACAATTTGGGGTGGAAAGCACAAATTCAACACCTACTTAACAAGGCCAAAAACTCTGTCATATGCGCTCCTCCGATTTTTCTTTTCGGATGGAGCTTTGCATGTTCCCTCGGCCCTAAAGGTGTTCAAGGCAAAAGTGGTTCCCGTGCTAGCTTATGCTGCCCCGCTCTGGGCCGTGATGACAGATCCTTGCTCCTCTTGAGACTCTGCAAAACCAATTCCTACGTCGGCTCCTAATGCTCCCCCTGTGCGTAAGCAACGCAGCCATGCGACTAGAATTGAAGATCGCATCCTTAGAAACTTGCCTGTGGAAGCAAGTCTTCAATTATTGGTTATCATTGTGGCATAGATTACCAGACCATTACCTTGTCCAATGCTTATGGCGAGATGAATTCTCCAGCCTTTGGACTAGTAGAATTCATGCCAAACTCTTGAGCTATGGAATCTCTCCCTTAGATTCCCTAAAACTAGATCACATCACTGCTCAAAGACTGATCCGCCAAAGACTGGATGACATCGATTTACAGCGAAATTATTCGCTGGGGGGAGGTGTTTGTTCGCCCCAGAACATTGGTATCACTTTAACTTACTGCGTTCCATCATACCTCTCCTCCCTTTCGACTGTTGCCCATAGGCTGGCCTTCACCAAAGCGAGGTTTAACGTTTTTCCCTCCAATGTCCTGAGACATAGATTCTCAAAGGGCCAAGCCTCCGCCATGTGTGTATGTGATAAGGAGACGCCGGAGTCGCTTCAGCACATTATGTTTACTTGCCCCTTGTTTAATGTGCCACGGGCAAATTTGTTGGGATCAATCATACAGAAGCTAGAGGGTACCCCACCAAAATTCCACCTTGCCCAAATCCTGCAGGATAAGGATATCCATACGACCCTGAGAGTGGCTAGGTTTCTGGTCGCTGTCCTTACCCAAAAGCGCTGCCAAGGTGCACTACAAGCTAATTAAGGCGCAGTATGTCATTCCATCTTACAGTATTTTATTGTTATAGTGATGTTTTAGCGGCTGTTTTTTCCCCACGTGCACAAGCTGTTATTTATGTCTTGTTTTTATCTGTATGGGCCTATGGCCGTAATAAATATCTATTCTATTCTAAACGCATCCATTTAGAGGTAGACCCCCCCCCCCCTGGGTTGAGCAGTTCAATCTTCCCTCAATTTCTCATGGCATAGATGGCTTCCATTCAAGCCAGCTCCCTTGCCAGCCCTCCTTCACTCCACCCTCTTTTGTTCTTCCTCCCACCCCCACAAAACTAGAAGAAGAAGAAGAGTTTGGATTTGATATCCCGCCTTTCACTCCCCTTCAGGAGTCTCCAAGCAGCTAACATTCTCCTTTCCCTTCCTCTCCCACAACAAACACTCTGTGAGGTGAGTGGAGCTGAGAGACTTCAGAGAAGTGTGACTGGCCCAAGGTCACCCAGCAGCTGCATGTGGAGGAGCGGAGACGCGAACCCGGTTCCCCAGATTACGAGACTACCGCTCTTAACCGCTACACCACACTGGCTCTCTAAAACTAGCCAAACATTTGTAATAAGGTCTAAAACGTGAGGCTCCCCAAGATCTTCAAGGAGGTGTGATATCTCAGCATGAAGGGTTGCTGGTAAGGAAGGGCATAGGTGTTGTTCCAGAAAGTATGGATTGGATAGGTTCACTTTTGAATGCAAACAGAATCAAATTTCTCCCCCATTGGGGCACATCTCCTTTGTCTAGCCTTATGAAAGAGAGGAGCACACACAAGATCTCCAGAATGTCTGGCCCAGAGCTGACCTCCAGGACCTTGCCCAGGAGCTTTAGAAATTTCTGAGTAATTGCCACCAGGCTTTCAGAGATCTCCTCCCCCTGAGGCACAGCAGTTTTCTGGCAGTTTTCAGACAGCCTCACTCCCAGAGGGGAAACATTTCTTCCATAATTGTCAATGCCATAAAAAAGCACAGGGGTAATCTCTCCTGGAACAGCAAAGGCAGGCTTAGTGTTTGCTGCTGCGGAAAATGTGTCACATGGACCATGCCATAAAGTCAGGTATGTGCAAAGCGCTGTTTGAGATATAAACATTTTTGATCGGTTCCAGATAGATCTCTCACAGTATTGTGAAATGACAGAGCTTGTATCGTTTAAGTATGGATAGCATAAGAACCCCAGAACAGCCCTGCAGAAACAGACCAAGAGTCCAGCTGGTCCCGGACCGTTTCATTTTTAAGTCTTTGCTTTAGAGCTCCATGGATCTTTGACATTTCTGCCAAAGAAGGAAGACTTCCAAAAACCTTTGTGAAATGGCAGAAAATCTGAATTGAATAGATATTTGGAGAAATAAACATTGATTAGATAGGGAATTCACGTTTTATTCACATGTGCATGAAAGTAGTGCCAGAAATGATGCCATCTAGATATCCAGAGAATTGGAATTAATAGTAAGAAAAATAGAAATCACCTTGGTCGAGCTTGAAGTCGTCTTGGCAGGTCCCTGGCTCTCATTTGTCTTCTGTAGCATTTCGGCCACCCCTCCTTTCCGCTCCTCCTGTTCAGCAAGTATCTTTTCCTCCTCTTCAATCTTTGATTTCTTTTCTTGTCCAGCTGCCTGTGTTTTGAACATCAAGTCCTTTTCCAACTCCGTAGTTATATTTTCTGTTGACTTCGGTTTTGTGGGACTTGTAGACAAAACATGGCCTTGCTCACACATCTTTCGCAACTTTCCCATGAGAAAGACAAGCTCTTGCAGATCAGCTCGTATTTTCCGACCTATTTCCATTCTTGTAATGTCTGTGAATCCCCTCTAGAGGGATTCTGGTTACTTAATATTCCTTTCCCTTCCGACCCAAAAGTCAAATTTATTTGTAACAATCTTTCTTTGCTTTCAGTACTTTGTGGCAATATAACCGGCTAAAGCTAAAACTTTCAGTTTTTCCAGACTTTGACAGCTGATTTGACAGCTGTCAAAAGTTTCCTCTAAATCCTCAACAGGCTCTTTTCACGGGTTACTCCCGGTCTCGAGAAAAGTGGTACTTGGTCAAAACAAGTAAGCTCTTGTCCTCCAGCACAATAACTTAGACTTTTAAATCCGTGGAATTAATAATTTTTGTCCAGTCACGAAGAAAAAACAACAGCTCTTCTCACAACCTTAGTTGGCAGATCCTTGCTTTAAACTGTTTACAATGGGGGGGAGACGGACTTCCTCTTTTCACCTCCCCCGCTCGTGCCAAATCCGTAAACGAAATAATTTAAATCCAGTTTCCAAGTTACTCACGGGTTGTTGTTCTTGATTTTAAGTCCGAATTTTAGAAGGAAGAAGTCAGCGCTCTCCGACAAATGGCATGCGGCTTCACTCGGCAGGGGAAGCAGAGGACTCACAGCACCACCCCACTCCCCGTCACCCGTTCCGTAGCCTTTAAAAAGGCTCTTTTTGCACGTCGGGAGGGCGCTAACGGTGCCCACCGAGTCACCACGTCCACGGGCATCCGCGCCTGTGGTTTTTAAGGGTCCCCGTGTCGCCGGCACGGCAAGACCCAGCCCCTGTCGAGCAGATTCCCTCCGGAGCTCGGAGGGAATCCGCCATTAGCCGATCACGCTAACCCGGAAGTGGGGATGTTTAGATTTATCAACTCCCAGTTCAGACCTACAGCCACTACACAAATCAGTGGTGGAGGGAGTGTCCCAGTTTCCCTTTCAGCTCAATCAAACTGGCTTTAGGATCCATGAGCTACACAAGTGATGCTAAACTTCCACCAGGCTGCAGAATAGAGCAGAAGAAAAGCAGGGTTGTCCCACTGATTTGCTGAAAGACCAGCTCCCATCTGTTCTCCACAAGAGAGGCTGAGTAGACATTCCAACAGGCTGCCGCAGGTAGTAACTGCAAGAACTGTAGCTTTACGTGTGGAATAGTTTCTTCTGCTTCCCTCCCCAAGCATTTCTCTCTCACATAATTATATATAGAAACTTAAGAGCAGAAACCCTCTTGCTAATGAACTTCAGATTTTGGCAAAAGTGTGGATTAAAACTCTGTAAATAACAAACAAATAAATCATAAAACTGACACTGTATGGGCTTAGAAGAGGGAATAATATGTCTGAGTTGGAATATTTCTTTTTCGAATGGGTTTTGAGGCTGTAATACAATGTCTGATGTTGAACTAAACTAGGATAAAACCTGTAAAATAATACCAGATTTCTAATATCCATTTGACTTTTATTCCTTAATATCTTTCCACCAAAAGCACTAGGTGAATGATGTCCTCCATCACCAGATTCAACGAGAGTCTTGTGAGCCACCAAACCTTTGTCCTGATTGGCATCCCTGGGATGCAAGAAAAGAACTCTTGGGTGGCCTTCCCATTGTTTGTGCTCTACACCCTGACTCTGTTGGGAAACTTCACTATCCTCTATGTCATCAAGAGTGACCCAAGCCTCCATGAGCCCATGTACTTCTTCCTTTGCCTGCTTGCCTGCTCGGATCTGGGACTCTGCATGTCAACCATGCCAACTATGCTGGGGGTCTATTGGTTTGACTCCAGAGAAATCCCATTAAATGCTTGCATCAGCCAGATGTTTTTTATCCATTCATTTCAATGGGCAGAGTCTGGCATTCTTGTGGCAATGGCTTTTGACCGGTTCATTGCCATCCGTGATCCACTGAGATACAGATCACGTCTCCCAAATATGTTAATTGCAAAAATCGGCATAGCTGTCTTTTCCAGAAGTTTCTGTATCTGTTTCCCACCCCCTTTTCTTCTTTCAAAGCTCACTTTCTGCCGATCCAATGTCCTTTCTCATTCCTACTGTCTCCACCAAGATGCCATGAAGTTAGCCTGTGCAGATACAAGAGTCAATGTTTTGTATGGTTTGATAGCAATTATTTCCACTTTAGGCTTGGATGTATTCATCATTCTTGTATCATATGCCCTTATTCTGAAGACTGTTTTGAGCATTGCATCCCGAAAAGAGTGTCTGAAGGCTTTGAACACCTGTGTGGCCCACATTGCTGCCATTTTGATTTTCTATGTGCCAATGATTGGCATCAGTATGGCACATCGATTTGGGAGACACCTTTCCCCCATTATCCACATGCTGATGGCCAACATTTTTGTTATGGTCCCTCCACTTCTCAATCCTGTTGTGTATAGCGTGAAGACCCAGCAGATTCGACAGAGGTTATGCAACATTTTCCAGTTTAGAAAAAGTAGGGGTTGATATTTATTTTGAAATGCCTTTTATCACAGAAGGATAATTATTTGATAAAGTGGTTTAAAATTAGGGATGTGTTGAACCATATCTCCTCCAGAAGTCCCTGTGTCTGCTTCCCATTTCCATTTCTAATTAAATGGCTCAATTTCTGCCAATCTAATGTGCTTACTGATTCATACTGTCTTCACCCTGACACAATGAAGTTAGCCTGTTTTGGCACAAAAGTCAAGATTTGTATGGTTTGCAGAGACACAGCTAACTTCATATAGATCCCATTAGACAACTGGATTTTCTGTAACCCTTTCCCCACAAATATTGTGCATTTAGTGTACTTGTAGTAGTAACTCCACTTTTAAATGTGAACAGAATCAAATTTCTCCCCCATCTGGGCACATCTCTTTTGTCTACCCTTATGAAAGAGAGGAGCACACACAAGATCTCCAGAACATCTGGAGCAGAACTCCAGGACCTTGCTCAGGAGCTTTAGAGATTTCCCAGTAATCTACAAGAGTATGTGGTACAACCGCTTAAAGATGTAATGAATGAGATTTTAAATATTGGGAAAGTACGAGAGTCTTGGACAGACCAAGCCACCAGGTGAAGGACAATATAAGGAATATAATTGATATTATAGGATATCTCGGGGCCAGGAATGAAAAACAAGCTGCATTGATGTTTATAGATGCAGAGAAGGCATTTGACAATGTCTCATGGTCATTTATGAAAAAAAGAAATGATGAACTTTGGAGAGGCATTTGGTAGAGGTATTGAGGCAATTTATTCAGACCAACAGGCTATGTTGATTGTCAATAATGTGATGACTGAAAAATGTAAAATAACAAAGGGGACAATACAAGGGTGTCTCCTGTCACCGTTATTGTTTATTTTAGTGTTAGAAACATTGTCAAGGGATATCAGATCAGATGAGACAATAAGAGGAATAATGGTAAAAGATATAAACTGAAAGCTTTTGCAGATGACCTTCTGATTACTGTGGAAGATCTGAAGAGTAGCATACCAAGAGTGTTGGAGAGGATCCAGGAATTTGGTCATGTGGCAGGTTTCAAATTAAATAAAAATAAAAATAAGGTTTTGGTGAAAAACATGACAGAGCAATATAAAAAGGACCTACAGCAAACCATTGATTTATGTAGAGAGAGAAAGTTAAATATTTAGGTGTATGGTTAACAGTTAAGAATATAAATATTTTTAAAGATAATTACACAGCTACTTGGAAAGAAATAAAGAAAAACATAGAGATTTCAAAGAGTGGCAAAAAAAAAATATTCTAGATTTATCTGACGGGGGGGGGGGTAAACCTAGACTAAAATATAAATTATTAACAGATGCTAAAGAAAGAGGGGGCTCCACCCTGCCAGATTTAAAATTCTATTAAGAGGCATCCTGTCTCTGTTGGCTCAGGGAATGGATAATATTGAAAAACATAAATATTCTAGATTTGGAAGGACATAATAACAGTTTTGGATTGCATGCATATCTCTGCTATGAAAAAGCAAAAGTACAAAAAGGGTTCCAGAATCATTTAGTTATAAAATCAGTTTTTACTGTTTGGGGAAAATATGAAAGCTTACTAGAACAGAAAAACCGTGGTGGCTTTTCCCGCTAGAAGCGACATCTCTGGAAAAAACTAAACATGAGAATTGGGAAATACAGGGAGCTGCTAAGTGAAGTAGAACATCAGCTGAAACTGAAAGATTTTGAAGAATTAAGGAATTTATTAACTAATTAATTACAGTTTCACCAATTTAATAATATTTTTAGGATAGACAAAAAGAAAGGTTTCAGCTATGAGACCTCAAGATTTGAAAAAAAGATTTGTTAAAAAATAATATAAAATTACTGTCGAAAATGTACAGATTGCTCCTGGAATGGCATACAAAAGATGAACAGGTTAAATCTAATGATACACTGGGAGAGGGATTTGGGGCATAATATTAAACTTTCAGATTGGGAAAGGTTATGGAAAACTGATTTGAAATTCTCAGCATGTTGTACACTGAAATAAAACGATATGAAAATGATGCACTGGTGGTATTTGACTCCTAGTAAATTAGCAAAAATGTACAAGACAAGTACAAATACCAGCTGGAAATGTAAAGAAAAAGCAGGTGTGGTGGTCGTGTAAAGTAATAAAAGCATTCTGGGAAATGATATATAATGGAAAAAAATGTTTAAAATAACCTTTATTAAAAAGAAAACCCAGAAGCATTTTTATTAGAAATTGTAGATGCCATGATCCCAAAGGAGCAGAAAAGACTTTATGTATGTGACAACAGCCGCACGGATGCTACTAGCCCAGAGATGGAAAGATGATAAAGTCCCTACCAGAGAAGAATGGCAGATGGACTACGCCAAAATGGCAAAACTGACCGGAAAGCTCAGGAACCAAGAAGACAAAAAGTTCAATAAAGAAAGGGGGGAGATTATAATTTATCTAGGAGACCACTGTAAGCAGATGGAAACATTGGCAGGATTCTAATAACACTTGTAATGGAGCAAATATCATGGACAATATGGAAAGATATAAAAAATGGATTATGAAATAAGATGCAGTTGAAAAGGTTGACAATGTCTTGAATAATAGATTTTTCAATGGTCGGATCTCAGCGGTGTGTGTATGTGATAATAGATCTATAGAATCTTTACAACATATACTATTCTGCTGTCCACTACATTCAGTTTCTCGGAGCAGATTTTTGTCCCCTTTATTATTGGAAATCTCAGGTGACTCCTTGGAAACACAGCTAATACATTTATTGCAAGATTCTGACCCGAGTAGGTCCCTTTCTGTTGCCAGATTTCTGATAACAGTATTAGCCTATAAAAAGAAAAATGGATTACTCTATGATTATTGATTTTTGCCTAAATAATATTAATTTATATTGATAATTTGATACTTTAAGCGCTATATTGTTCTTATTTTAATGGAATTTAGAAACTTACGGATTGAGATGTACTTGACTTAAACGTAATTTAATTTATTAATTTTATCTTGTTACTCCTGTTCTGCTGTATGATGTATTGAATGTGGGCCTATGGCCGTAATAAACTATCTATCTATCTATCTTGACAATAGGACCCATGGAGGGGAGAGTGGGAAGCCTGGTGATTCAGAGAACTCTCTAAATATGGATATGTATTTTGTATTGTTATAATTGTAAAATCAAATAAAAATTATTTCAAAAAGAAGAAAATAGATTTCCGAGTAATTGCCCCCTGGGTTTCAGAGATCTCCTCCCCCTGAGGCACAGCAGTTTTCTGGCAGTTTTGAAACAGCTTCACTCCCAGAGGGGAAACGTTTCTTCCATAATTGTCAACGCCATAAAAAGCACAGGGATAATCTCTCCTGGAACAGCAAAGGCAGGCTTAGTGTTTGCTGCTGCGGAAAACGTGTCACATGGACCATGCCATAAAGTCAGGTATGTGCAAAGCGCTGTTTGAGATATAAACTTTTTGATCGGTTCCAGATAGATCTCTCACAGTATTGTGAAATGACAGGGCTTGTATCTCTTAAGTATGGATAGCATAAGAACCCCGGAACAGCCCTGCAGAAAGAGACCAAGAGTCCAGCTGGTCCCTGTCCGTTTCATTTTTAAGTCTTTGCTTTAGAGCTCCATGGATCTTTGACATTTCTGCCAAAGAAGGTAGGCTTCCGAAAACCTTTTGTGAAATGGCAGAAAATCTGAATTTAATAGATATTTGGAGACATAAACATTGATTAGATAGGGAATTCACGTTTTTATTCACATGTGCATGGAAGTAGTGCCAGAAATGATGCCATCTGGATATCTAAAGAATCGGAATTAATAGTAAGAAAAATAGAAATAATACCAAGAACATTATCGGACCCTAACCCATTATTAATGGAGTCACTGGGTACTTCTAAATAGTAATATAAGAATAATCTAACAACCTGTTCCCAGCAGAAGGAAGAGATGTCTGGTCACAGCATGATATATGCACCTGGGATGCCAGGTGGGTCCAACAAGAAGGATGCTTGTGGAAAATTCAGCTGTGAAGCCTAGATGATTCAAAGGCAAGGTGTGTTTAGGGAACGCTCTGTGGGTGGCCCCTCAAGAACGATTGGCTTGGGGATATTTAGCCAGGAGAAGAGGAGATTGAGAGGTGATCTGATAGCCATCTTCAAATAGCTGGAGGGCTGTCCATGGATGGAGCAAGCTTGTTTTCTCCTGTTCTGGAGGGGAGGACCTAAACCAGTGGAATGAAATTACAAGAAAAGAGATTCTGACTAAGCAATGGGGGCAGGGGGACTTTTTGTTGCTCAGACCAATAAAAACATCCTAGCATCAGCCCTTTCCTTAAAAACAGTCAGCTCCAAACGTTCTGCAGGGATAAATCTGTCTTCACCTGCTGGTGAAAGGATATGAAGGAGGAAGCCAATAGAACATCCCAAGGAAGGGAGTTCCAAAGTCTGGGAGCAGCCACCAAGAAGTCCCTCTCCCGTTTCCCCACCAAATGTGTCTAGGAGGGGGATGGGTCTGAGCCTCCCCCAAAGATCTCAGAGCCCAGGCAGATTCACATGAGAGAATATCTATCTTTCAGGTAGACTGGACCTAAGCCATGTATAGCAGCAGCTTGAATTAATTCTTAGCATAAACAACAGAACAAACAGAAAACGTGCATGAAAAGGCTGATTTGAAAGTTCAACTTATGTGAATGGTAGTGTATTCAGCATCATATGCTAATGAGCATTTTTTGCTTTAGCTTATACATGCACTCCTTGAATTAATTCTAAGCTTATTTTCTGTATCCCCTCCCACCCCCGTATTCATTGTGTCCAAATGTGTTTTCAAATGCATACACGGTTCCTTATATATTCCTTCCCCAAGTTGGATTTATGTAGAATGTGCCTTTGATTTTCCTTTGATATGTTTTAGGAATATGGTAACATCTTGAACACACTGAAATACAGTCACTAGCTTTTTGATTATGCACTTTAAATATATATATTTTTAACTGATTTC